GCTGGTCCCGGCGGTGTTGGGCCGGCGCTCCGGCACTGTCAGGGCAGGTGGCTGGAGAGGGAGCGGCTGAGGGCCCCCATCTCCTGTGGTTTACAAATGCAGACTCCTCGTGTGATGAAGACCGCCTTTCCTCTGGATTCTGTTTCTACTGTATCTTACTTATTTTTTTTTAAAAGCTCTCCCCTCTCCCTCAGGTAATAATATTGACAACGTTCAATTGCCTTAATTTCTTAGTTGCTTTTGTTCCGTGAAGAAAATCAGTGATACCTGTAGTGCAGGCTCAAGGAAAAGTGTTAGAAGCAAAATTTAAAAGCACGATTCCAATTAAGTCCTGGAGCTATTTGGTTAGACATCGGCTTTCACAACTCAACGTTCTGAACCTCCTGTAATTTTTTTTTTTTTTGAAGTGTTGAGTCAGATGGGACCTGCCAGAGCACTGGTCACACCCTTCCATTCTAAAGGGTCTCTAATGAGTTCGTCTTATCTTTTCTTTGCTGAGAGCTGGGAACTCTGGTGGTGCACTCAGCCTGACTCAGGAAGAAAGTCTTCAAACCCTCCAAATTTAGAAACACACAATCTCCACAGATATCCGAGATCACTAGCTTTTCAAGTCGTTAACTGCTTCTGCATAGTTTGCTCCCCACCCTCCCCTCACCCACTGTGAATGTCCTGCCAAACTAGGCAAAAGGCGTCGGACCGTCCCAACGAGAAGTAGAAATTAAGTGACTGGATTTGATCATTTATAATCACAGGGTCTTGGAAATTGTAAGAGTTTTTAGAGACCATCTAGTCAAAGGCTTCACCGTGCAACCCAGGAGGAAGCTCAGTTTCCTGTTAGCAATGATTGGTTAAGCTCATAGTGTTCATTTTTGATGGAGTCAACACTAGAATCCAGGCCTTCTCCTTCTGACTTAGTTCAATTTTCAAAGCATATTGCTTCCAGGCATTTTGAACAGAAATGATGACCAGAAACACCTAATCATATCATTTGCCTGCCCTTATTTTTTATTTATCTATCTTTTTTTTTTAACTGGTGGGATTCTGAAGTGAATGAGAGGTTGATTTAGTCAAACCACCTTTGTAGTATAAATTTTAAAAATACAAGCCCTTAATTTTAAATAATACACTCTTCTTAAACGAAGATGAATGTGCAGATACATCTCAGGTGAACTTCCAGTAGAAGAGCAGTAATCAAAACAGTTGAACTAAATTTATTTCCATCTCTCCTTGGAGTTTCTTCTGATTCTTACGTCTCTAGAGAGATGATTGGTTAGAGTTTAAAGTGTGATTTGTGACTTTGGAGCAGGCTTGAGAAAAGTAGCTTATATGAGGACAATATGTGTGTTGTGATTAATACTGTGACCTATAACAGAGCTGAGAAAGGAATTTTAAACTGACTTCTTTAGCATTACCACTGCACATTTTTTTGTTTGTTTTTCAATTTAGTTTAATTTAAAAAGTATTTATTGAGTGCCTACTATGGGCTCAGTGTTGTTCTGGACACTTAGGGGTGTATCAGTGAACAAAACAAAGATCTTTGATCCCCTGGACCTAAACTTACAATGTATTCGTTAGAATTTTCCAGAATTTTGTTTGGCAGATAGAAAAAAATTTCAGTTTTGAAATTTCAACATTAATGTCCCAAATTATTTTTTTTGCAGTCCTGTAATTCTGCAGATTTTATAATCACTGAAAACAAAGAAGCAAATTCAGATAAAGTCAGTTTGACTTTTATGAATTGAAGTATGTGAACTCTACATGAATAGAAATTCTCCCACATTTGATTATTTTATGTATGTGTGTTCGCTGTCCCTGAAATTACATTGCCTTTAGTGCAAAGACATCATTGTAGTGACATTAAACTTGATGAAGCATGAGAGGATTAGTTTTCTCAATAGTGTCGGTGCCCTCATGTCAGTGTGGCAGACTGTAATTGTATTAGTTTTAAGATGTAGCTGCTTATTTATTTATGAAGATGCTGTTCTGCTTTTATTTTGTCTCACTTTATATTTTGTCCCCCCCTCCATATTAATAGGTGACACGGTCCTGTGACTTATTGGTATATCTGTTACCACAGAAGTTGTTTTTTTTTAAATCAGATATGCAGTTTTAAGCATTTTCTAATTCTCTCAATGACTTGTTCTTCAAAATGGCATGGTTTGCAAGCTCAGGCAGGTTTATTGTTTTTAATAAAGGCTTATCAAAATGAACTTGGCAGTTTTTCAGTTATATACAGCCAAAAAAAAGTATTCAGTGTGCCTGTTGGGGTTGTTTATGCATTCCTTACCTAACCAATTGCTTTTCTTTAAAAAATTGCCAATTTGGAAGCTATTTGCATGTGAGTACCTTTCTAGGAGATCTAGAAGCCCATTCAAGCAGTAGAATAATTTAATTGAGAAAAACCAAATCCACGTTTGAAGATGTTAGGAGATTTTCGAGGACAAAGATTTTCTCTCTGTCTGTTTTTAATTTGCTCTACATCAAAGGACATCAGGAAGTGTCATTATCTAACAGTGTCCTGTTTGAAAGTGATCTCTGTTAGACACTAGGAGGAGAGTCGTGGTTGCTGACAGCAGCAAGGCACCCAGAATAGCTGCTTTTCTTCCTTTGCTCACCGCTCTTCCCCATCAGATTCTCATCGCCCGTCTTCTACTGCAGGTTGAGGGAAGAGGTGTGTTGCTATATAGCCAGGTGGGAAGTTTCGCACCATTAATTAATCATTTAATCAATGTGCTCCTTCATTATTTACTTCATATTTCTTGAACTTCTTACTACAGATTTGTGCAGAGATTGCGTCTTGAGCCCCCCTGTTCCTGTGCTGTAAAGACGCAAATCCTGCCTCTGAAGACACTTCCAGCCTGGTCTGGAGGAAAGGACGTTGTGTAACTAGCTACCTGATACCAGTTATAACCACTGTGAGGGAGAGAGAGATAAGTACTTCGGAAATTAAAAGGAAGGAGAGACAGCATGTCGGCTCTGCGAGGAGTCAAGGCTTAGGCAAGGCTTTAGAGGGGAGGACACTTTTGAGCTGATCCTTGAAAGATGGGTAGAACGGTGATGCTTTTATAGAGGCAGAAGGGTCTACCTATCTATGTGGGAACACGTGCTTGCTTCTTTTGAACACGGAGACACAGAAGCCTTCCTTTTGGGGACAGTCGAGGCTGGGTTGGGTTGTCTCCCCTTTACATCCTCTGCATGCATACCGCTCAGTCCTGGGTAACGGAGTACCGACAAACTCTAAAACAACTCATTGGGTTAACCAGGG